AGTAAACGCTCGGTAAAAGTTGGCGAGTGTTAGTCTATCAGTATAAACTCCATGAACACTTCCCTTTGAGGGAGAATATTAACGATCTATTATTTCCCTCTTGTGCCATGTGAAGTTATGGACTTGCTGCCTCTGGCCTTTCCTGTCTCTGTCTGTAAATGAGATGTGGTTTCTTAAAAGGCGAGCCCCACCTGATCTCAGGGTGGTCAGAATTTTCAGTGTTGCTGTGTGAGGCTGTAGGAGCCCAGGCCTAGCAAGTGTTGCTTGCTTGCTTGCTTTTTTTCTTTAGAAAAGAAAAGAATCCCATTACATAATTTAACAATCATTTTGTTCTGTAGTGAGATGAAAAGAATTTATCAGCCTTCAGCTGGGCCTGAATGAAGAAGCAAATTATCGAAATCACTGACATTAGTGGTTGGCTAGAGCAGGAATGTTTCCTACTGAATATTTGAAAGTATTTTGTACAATCTAATTGTGAGCGACAGGCATCTCTGGGCTTCTGCTGCTTGGCTTGAGAACTGTAATTACGAGGCCTAATGGAGCCCCGTGGTGGGACATTTTCTCCAGCTGATGCTGGAGCCATGGGTGCACGCGTAGGCGGTCTGGTCACTGTGCTTTTCAAAATGGATTCAGAGAAAGGGCACAGAAATGTTTTGCTCACTTGGGGAAAATACTTTTTGTCATTCTTTCCAAGTATATGTCTTTGGTCTGTCCTGCTGGCATTAAAGCATGGCTTGCTACAGAATGGATCTTCCTTCCTTCCTTCCTTCCTTCCTTCCTTCCTTCCTTTCCTTCTTCCCTCCTTCCTTCCCTTCCCTCCCTCTCTGCCTCCCCCCTTCCATCCTTCCTTGCTTCCCTCTCTCCTTCCTTCCTTTCCTCCCTTCCTCCCTCCCCTCCCTCCCTTCCTCCTTACCTCCCTCTCTGCCTCCCCCCTTCCATCCTTCCTTGCTTCCCTCCCTCCTTCCTTCCCTCCCTCCTCCCCTCCTGGAGCTTGAATGCTGTTTCTGAGCTTTTTGCTCAAGGCTAGTAACCACAGCTCTACTTCTGGGGTTGTTGTTGTTGGGGTTTATGTGTGTGTGTGGTTAATTGGAGAGAAGAATCTCACAACCTTTCCAGGCTGGTTTCGAACCACACTCCTCAGATCTCAGCCTCCTGAGTAGCTAGGATTACCAGCATGCACCAACTGCATGCAACTAGAATGGAGTTTTCTTCACTTCATCTTGTAGGAGATCTCCCCAGAGTAGGGGCAAACAGACACAGCCGTTTCATAAGCACTCAGGCGCCCCCCCCCGGGGGGGGCTCATCCACCCCATCCCTTCTAGCATTACCGTAAAAGACATCTTATATTTTTTAAACTCTTGGTAAAATACACATGTCAGTTTTATAACCATCACCACTGGGTAGTTCTAGAATTTTCCTTCACCCCAAGAAACTGTGTAAAGGATATGGAGTTTGGCACCATCTCTAGCAGCCACTAATCAGCTTTCTGTCTCTAGGAATCTCCCTATTTTTAGATACTCCATATAAATGGACTCTTAAGCTCACAGCTTTTGTCTGGCTTCTTTGACTTAGCATAATGTTCTCCTGATTCAGACATGTTGTGTGGTACACCAGAACTTCACTCCTTTTCATGACTAAATAATGTCTGTGTGTATGAATCTACCACACCTTTAAAAAGAATCTATTCCTTATTTCATAGACATTTTGTATTTTGTTTCCAATTCTTGTCTGTTGTGAATAGTGCAGCTTTGAACATTCTTGTCCAGGTTTTTGTTTGAGCAACTTATGTCAGTTCCTTGGCTCTAAATCTAAAAATGGAATTAGTGGCCCCATAAAGAATCTATGTTTAATTTATTGAGGAAGGCTCAGACTATTTGCCAGTTACTGGAGCATTTTTATGTTGCCATCCACAATATATAAAAGGTTCCAATTTCTGTACATTTTTAAAGAATCAAAGTCATGCTTGTGGGTAGAAAGTGACAACTTCTTATGGTTTTTATTTCATTTTCCTAATGACTCATGTGTTCAACATCTTTTCATATGATTGTTAGCCATTTGTGGGTCTTTTTTAGGGGAATATCTGTTTAAGTTCTTTGCTCATTTTTAAAATGGACTTTTTTGTTGTCACATTGTAGGAGTCATTTATGTACTGTGAATACTAGACCATGGACAGATATGATATATAAGTATCTTTCATTTTCTGTGATTGGTCCTTTTTAAACTTTTACTAGTGTCCTTTAATACTTAAAAGGAGTTGAGCATTACCTAAAAGATGAGAAGTTTTTTATATAACCACAGGACCATATCATACTAGCCATATTTTCTTAATATTCTAAGAGATCCAAGTCTCTCATCTTGTCATTGGCTCAACATTTTTAACAGCTGTTTAAAAAGTGTCCAAATAAGTGTGCCCATTGCAATTTGTGTGCACATATGAAAAATCTATTTAATACTAGGGACTGAACTCAGGGCCTCATGCTTGCTAAGCAAGTGCTCTACCACTTGAGCTATGCCTTCAGCTTATATTAGTATATCTATATATTTATTTTGGATGAAACCATCGATGTGATTCTATTATGCCTCTCCTTTAGTTCTGTCTCTATAGTCAGTCATGGGTTGTTTGCTAATTATTCTGCCAGTCCTGGGGCTTGAACTCAGAGCCTGAGCACTGTTCCCGAGCATTGTTGCTCATGGCTAGTACTCTACCACTTGAATCAAAGTTCCACTTTCAGCTTTTTGGTAGTTAATTGGAAATAAGAGTCTCATAGACTTTCCTTTCCAGGATTGCTTCAAACCACGATCGTCATATCTCAGCCTACCAAGTTTAGCTAGGATTACAGGTAGGTGCCAGGAGCTGTGAGCCTCTGGCACCTGGTAGTTTTCTTGTCCATTGTTACAGTGGTCATACAAAAGATGGGATTTTTTTATTCTTTTCTATTATCACTTCTCAAGATAATAACTTTGTTCTTGAGGGTCACTTTATTCATGCATTTAATGACCATATTTAATGTATATTTAGATAGACAGCATTGTTATTATTCTTGTCAGTGATCAAATTATCTTCTCTCTGGCTGCTCAGAGTCTCTTCAAGTTGATTTCTGAGTTCTTTGTGGCCAGAAGTAGCTTCTTGGCTATTACATACAGAAGATCTCCAACTATATTTGGTTAGAATGGAGCCCATTGTAGCACTTGTGAAATCTTCCTAGAAAAGCTTTATAGAATCATTTCCTCTTCAGAGAAGATAGTAGGGTTTCATAAGAAACCCAGCCTTTGTGGAATCAGAAGAAGCCAAATCAGAGCAACCATTCAAAACCCTCTCACAGCGGGCACTGGTAGTTCATGCCTATAATCAGAGTGACTCGGGAAGCTGAGATCTGAGGATCTGATTTAAAGCCAGCCCAGGCAGGAAAGCCTGCAAGACTCTTATCTCCAATAACCACCAAAAATGCTGGCGATGGAGCTGTGGCTCAAGTGGTAAAACACTAGCCTTCAGTTAAAAAGACTCAGGAACAGTGCCCAGGCCCTGAATTCAAGCTGTTGGACTGGCACCACAAAACAAAATACCTCATGAAACTCATTTCATGCATTTTCACTGAGTTTTTATTAGACATAGAAAGCATAATTTTGCCTGGAGATTTTTCACCAAGGAGATGTCTTTTAGGACCTAGTAATGTGATGCTGATAGAGAATATCAATATAAACGAAGCCATCGATGCGATTCTGTTATGCTTCTGCTTTGTCATGGATTGACTACTAATTATCCTGAATTCTTGACATCAAATCACAAAAAGCAATGTCCATACCTAATAGCTGGCTTTGGTTGTAGATTGAGAGAGGAGGATGGATGCAATGCATTTACTCTCCCAAGCCTAGGGGATGGATGTAAACACACAGACTGGTTTTTTCTCTTGTACCCTCTGCCTCGCAGTTACAAAAGGGGGTGGGGGCAGTATTTATTTTCTGCTTGTTTTATAAAGTTGCTGAGTACTATAATGAGTGTGTTATTTATAGAGTGCTTGGAGCTTTTTGGACGAAAGGTGCTAAATTAGAGTTTATTGTTTATTGAATTTATTTGATGTGTCCAACCTCCCGGGAACATTTGCTGAAGTTAATTAAAAACAGATAGTCCCCACTCTGACAGCTTACAGTGCCACTTACAAACCAATAACATAATCAGCGTGAACGCCAGTTGTCCTAGCTTGGGACTTCCTAAGGAACAGCGATTCTTCCGACATGAGAGTGATTCTATTTTTGTGGGTACATGAATTCAAATGCTGGACAAAAACACATCGAGATTCTCAACTGGCTCTGAACCAACTCCCTGTCCCCATTTAAAAACAAAATACTTAGAGCTGGGTGCCAGGGGCTCACGCCTATGAGGGTTAGCTACTCAGGAGGCTGAGATCTGAGGATCACAATTTGAAGCTAGCCTGTTCAGGAAAGTCTGTGAGATTCTCTTAACAAAACTACCACAAAAGCTGCAAATGGTAGAGCGCCAGCCTTGAGTAAAAAGAAGCTCAGAGAGAGCACCTAGATCCTGAATTCAAGTCTCAGAGCCAACACACACACACACACTTACTTTAGAATATGGAGGTTTTACTCAATTTCCTTCCTATCACTTGGGCAAGAAATGAAGACAAACATTTATGTTTCCTCTATTGTGGTTTTGTTTTGGTCAGTCATGGGGCTTGAACTCTGGGCCTGGGCACTATACCTCAGCTCTTCTGCTTAAGGCTAGTGCTCTACCTCTTGAGCCACAGCATCACTTCTGGCTTTTTCTGTTTATGTGGTGCTGAAGAATCAAACCCAGGGCCACATGTATGAAAGGCAAGCACTCAACTACTAAGCCACCTTCCCAGCCCTCCTCTATTGTTTTATGATCACATTTTCTCAGAAGGAAGGGTAGTCCCAAATAACCACCTACTTCATGCTTGCTTAAGCCAACTGGTGAGGGTTGTAAGGGAAGATAATAATTTTGGCTCCTTGTCTTCCTTTGCCAGCTGGTGATGGAGTTCTGTGGCGCCGGCTCTGTCACTGACCTGATCAAGAACACAAAAGGCAACACACTGAAAGAAGAGTGGATCGCGTACATCTGCAGGGAGATCCTACGGGTAGGTGTCCATGGGAGAATGGTCTACCTCCCCTTGTCCCATAGCCCAGATGTCCTGGGAGGCATTAGGCCTCATACTCTCATTTCCATGAAGTGAGATCTCCTTAAAGGTTCATTCTTAACAGGGACCATGGCTGTGGTAGGTGGCACGTGGTTCTGCTCTCACAGAGCTAGGAACCTTCTGGATAGCTGGTATGCACATTTGATGTGGAAGGCTAACATGGGGTGATTTCCTGTAGTAAATGCTTCATTTTTTTTAATGATGTTTCCAGCTAAGAATCTGATTTGAAGTCATAAAGATAATGTCATACTTAGGAAATGGGTAGTTTCAGTACATATTTTGGTGGGCCATGGGAGGCATCTATTTAAATTATAACTAATACTGTAATCCCTTCCTGCTGCATGACGTGTGTGTGTGTAAGTAGATTATACAACCATAGTCATTTCTGCCCAGATAAGCTAGTTTACCTGCTTTTACCTTTCAAAAAAATGTTTGAGACCTAATCACTTAAATCAATCAACACAGCTGTATAAAATGATGCCTGTTTGCCCAGTTCAGCCCACAGATCTCACACTCCGGCCACATGGTACCACATTTCTGAGCTCAGTACAGGGAAAAGAGGGCAGCTAGGTACATCTAGTTCATTCAGACTAGTTTAATTTTCTCTTGATACGAATATGGAAGCTGTTATGTGTCCTCTGAGCGTTCTTCCAGCAGCCTGACAATCATCATTTATTTACAGCTTCTGCCATCTTAATTTAAGGAAACAAAAAGTAAAGTTGATTTTTACTCTGGCCAACATTGGCTTTTAGAGACCAGCTATATAGTCCATGCAATGAATGGATGGATGGATGGATTCTAAGGAGACAGAAAGAAGATATAAAAAGAAGTCTTAATCTTCAAATGTGAACAAGATGAAACACGACAGAAATAGAAAATGAAGGTTTTATGTGAAAGCATTGACAATAGCATACAAATTAAACATTTAGAAATACACAGAACATGTGACTGACTGCTCTCTAGCAACTATAAAACATTACTGAGTGATAAAGAGACCTTAGTAAATGGCTGTAGATGATATTTGGCATGTTAGAATACTCACTCCTAGACAGTGTTATTTCTCTTCAGTTTTGTTTATATTTTTAACTGTTAATCAAAGTCTTTGCTAGGTATGTTTGGGCTTAGACAAAAGAAAATTTTTAGGAATTACATTGGAAGGCCCAGAGCAGCCAAAAAATGCTAAGGACCAATTTAAAAGAAAAGAAGAAGAAAGAAACGGGGCTGGGAAGGTCGTCAGTGGTAGAGTGCTTGCCTTGCATGTATGAGGCCTTGGGTTCGATTCCTCAGCACCACATAAGCAGAAAAAGCCAGAAGTGGTGCACTGTGGCTCAAGTGGTAGAGTGCTAGCCTTAAGCAGAAGAGCTGAGGGACAGCGCCCAGGCCCAGAGTTCAGGCCTCAGGACCAACGAAAAAGAAAAAAGAAAGAAATGTTAAGGAAAAAGAACAAAGATGGAAAGCTCCTATTCCCAGTTATAAGATTTCAGGTAATTAAAACAGAACATCATGGAGCAGAATCAAGAGTCTAAGAATCAAGAGACCCTCATCAAATGGACAACTGACATACTGCAAAGCCAATCATGTTGTGGATGGGAAAATGGTGCTCTTGTCCATACATTGGTCCTGGTCCTGGCCACTGATCTATTCATATGGGAATGTAACATTAATACCTGCTCTTTTACCACATTAAAATTGTATTCCAATAAATATGAATGTCAAAGTCATGAAAACTAAAGTTCATATGAGAATAATACCTCTATAACTTGAGATAGGCAAAAAAATTGTTTAACCAAACATAGAACTGATCTGTCAAGTCTTAATGCATCACTAACTCAAGAAATATTAACATAGTTTAACACAGAACCTAACATTTTAGGAAAAAAGCATAAAGGACTACTTAGTTGTTGGGACCAACTAATGGCTTCTTGTCCAGGAATACCTGCATATTTCATTTTCTGTTCATCACTTCCGTATGGTTTAGTTTAGCCTCTGTGAGCATGACAAATATGTGGGCATAATTCTGAAAGCCTCTCTGGGGGAGTTGAATTATGGGAGACCATTAAAACCTCAAAATAGTACGATTGCGTCTTGGCTTATGTTTCTATTAACTCCCATCTCTCCACTGCAGGGCCTGAGTCACCTGCACCAGCACAAAGTGATTCATCGAGATATTAAAGGGCAAAATGTTTTGCTGACCGAAAATGCAGAAGTAAAACTAGGTAAGAACAGAGGCCAGCCTATTCATAGCATTATTTGTCACTCTTTTTTCAAAATTGATGTAAATTAACATGTAAAAATGATTAATAAATTAATGTAAATTTGTGGATCTGGAGGGCATTTCTCTTTTTTTTTTTTTTTTTGGTTGGTGTTGGGGCTTGAACTCTGGGCCTGGGCGCTGTCCTTCAGCTCTTCAGCTCAAGGCTAGCACTCTACCACTTGAGCTACAGCGCTATGTCTGGTTTTCTGGTGGTTTTTATTAGAGATAAGAGTTTCACAGACTTTCCTGCCTGGGCTGGCTTTGAACCTTGATCCTCAGATCTTAACCTCCTGAGTAGCTAGGATTACAGGCGTGAGCCACTGGTACCTGGCTTTGGAGGACATTTCTCTTAAAAAAATAGAAAGGAAAATGTTTTCCTTGCTTCTTAATTTTTTTTCTAAAACAATGAATTGGGGAATGAATTGTATACTGATAAAGTGATCCAACTAAACACAGTGCCTTAAGCAATGTATAGAAATGATTAGTATTTTGTAAATGTTTAAGTTAGCATAGGGCACTCTGGCTCCCGCCTGTAATCTTAGCTACTAAGGAGACTGAGATCTGAGGATCACAGTTCAATGCCAGCCTGGGCAGGAAAGTCCATGAGACTTTTATCTTTAATTGAATTCAAAAACAATCCAGAAGTGAAGCAGTGGTTCAAGTGGTAAAGCACTAGCCCTGAGCAAAATATCCTCAGAGATTGAGCTCAAGCTCCAGGACTGGCACAAACATACAAAAAAAAAAAAAAAAAGTAAAGGTAAGCAACAGTCCTTGAAATCGTCTCTTACATTCCTAGTTAGGTGTATTTAGACTCATCAATCCCTTCCATATTCCCAGTTTGTTATTTACATTGATTTTATTTTTACCTTGGGAACCTGTACAAAACAGATGCGGAATAATCAAATACTGATTACCCCTCTTCTGTTTGCCAAAGTTACAGTTGGGAAATCCCCTTTGGGGGCATGTCCACTTGCAGGCGGGTGCGGTCCAGATGAAGCATGAAGCTTCATCTTATCTCTTATCTCCACCAAAATAGACACTTAGTATGTGCAGAATGGAGGAGCCATCTTCAAAATAGCCACTCACCACTGCTGCATGCTGGGAGTCTGCCCAAGGTCCTGTAACCACCACTTAGAGATTGCACGTGTGATCACGCCTGTGGATACAGTCCTCTTCTAGTACCCTCAGACTATCCATCCAAGGGCAGAGGTCAGTGACCTGGCCCTAGGGAGCAAGGGAACAAAGGAGTAAGTGGCAAAAATAGGACCTAAGCTTTGGCAGTCCAACTCCAGCCCTAAGCTCTTTATTACTACTTTTTTCTTTTTTTTCTTTTTTTGTCAGTCATGGGGCTTGAACTCTGGGCCTGGTGTTGTCTCTGAGCTCTTTTGCTCAAGGCTAGAGCTCTACCACTTCCAGCCATAACACCACTTCTGGGTTTTCTGGTGGTTAATTGCAGATAAGAGTCTCAGGGATTTTCCTTCCTGGTCTGGTTTTGAACTGCAATCTTTAGATCTCAGCCTCCTGAGTAGCTAAGCTTACAGGTGTGAGGCACCAGCACTTGCCTTCTTACTACCCTTTGTAGCAACCAAACTTGCTTTTTATTGTACACCTATTTTGGTCCCTATCAAGTCTTGGTATAACCAAATACAATACTTTTCTCATTGGTATACTTCATCCATTTATGCGTATAGTTTAAAAATACACATTCACAGTTCTGGGGGGGGGGAGGCAAAAGCTAAACAAACGTAATCCACAGATGACAATCTGAATGAGATGTAGTAAACACATTCAGAGCAAGATTATTCTTCACTAATGAAGGCAGAAATTCTGACTCGCAGCAGCACATGGAGAACTTGGAGAACACTGTGTAAGCGAGTGAAGACAATCGCTGCATGAGTAGTCAGAAAAGGAGAAGAATGGCAGGGGTTGGTGGTCAGACCTGAGATGCAGAATGTCATTTGGGGATAGATAGTGGCCATGGTATTTAATGCCACAGCAATGCACATTGAAAAACTGGTTATAATGGTAAGATATGTATGTATCATAAATAAATATCATTAATACATAATAATGTATTATACATTAATATAAAGTTGAGGGAGACCAATAGATAGATGCATACATACATTGTGTGTGTGTGTGTGTGTGTGTGTGTGTGTGTGTGTTCAAGTCCATGCTCTGGTACTGGGACTTGAACTCAATTCCTTGAACTCTATCTTGGTTTGTTGTTGTTATTGTTATTGTTGTTTGTTTGTTTGTTTTGCCAGAGACTGGTATTCAACTACTTGAGACACACCTTTTCCACTTCTTGCTCTTTGTTGGTTATTTGGAGATAAGGTTTGAATACCCTTGATGGCTTTGAAACTTGATCCTCAAGAGTTCAGCCTCTTGAGTATATAGGATTACAGGCAGGAGGCCATCTGCCTCTAACAAGTACAAGATAGACAGACAGACAGACAGACAGGTAGATAGATAATTCCTATATATAGTACTGTGTTTAAAAATTCATTTTTATCATCACCGACTTCATTCCATTTTTTTTCTTCCTAGTGGACTTTGGCGTGAGTGCGCAGCTGGACCGCACAGTGGGCAGGAGGAACACCTTCATCGGGACCCCGTACTGGATGGCACCAGAGGTCATTGCCTGTGATGAAAACCCAGATGCCACGTATGATTTCAAAGTACGGCACCCTCGTTGTGTTGTTAGAGTAGGCCTAACATTACCTCTAGGGTCTTGGCAATGGGTATTTCTCACATGTTTTTGGTTTTGTGATTTACGGTACCCAAAAGGGAGAACTGAAGAATAGTATTTGAAGTTAAAGTTGTAATACAGTTCAAAGTGGAAATCATCTTAATGAATTTACCCATCTGATTGATCATTTACAAAAAAAGATGTGTAAATCATTTTCTCTATTCTTTTGAATTTGCCCTTGCTTCTTAGTCATAAAACGGAAGTCAGATTTTAGATTTTTGGTAAAGTATATATTTTTATATTTTTTCTTTTGATTTATTTTGGTGGTCATGAGAATTGAACTCATGACCTTGCTAGGCAGATGATCTACCATTTGATCCATACCTCCCAATCATATGTGTGTGTGTGTGTGTATGTGTGTCCATTGTTTTCCTTATTCATCTACTTATTTAGTTGGTTTATTTTTTTAGTTGATAGATTAAAAACACAGAAATGGTGTAACAGGGTATCATGTAATGTTTTGAGACATGTAAACATTGCATAATGCTTAAATCAGGTTAAAAATAATTGTTTCTTCACTTATTTTGATTGTGTGTTGTGTGTGTGTGTGTGTGTGTGTCTGTGTGTGTGTGTGTATTGGTCCTAGGGCCTGAAATTAGGGCGTGGCCACTGTCCCAGAGCTTTTTTGCTCAAGGCTAGCATTCTACCACTTGAGCCACAGCTCTACTGTAGAGTTTTTGGCACTTAATTGGAGATAAAAAGTCTCATGGACTTCCTTGTCTGAGCCAGCTGCAACACACAATCCTCAGATCTCAGCCTTCTTACTTGCTAGGATTACAGGTGTGAGCCATTGACATCTGGCCATTTATCCTTTAAGATGAAAATTCTTTTTAAAAAATTTTATTGTAAAGGTGATATACAGAGGGGTTACAGTTACATGAATCAAGTAATGAGTACATTTCCTTCCTCCCTTATTCTCTTCCAGTTTTTCCCTTCCCGACTTCCCTCCCCACCAAGTTGCATAGTTCATTTTCCGAAATAGTGTCTAGTGGGTATCATTGCTGCACTGACTCACCCTTTGTCCCACTATTTCTGTGCTTCCCCTTTCCCTTCCCCTCCCCAAATCAGATAAACTTATATACAAGACAAAGGGTATAGAAATCAAAAACAAGGACAGAGGGAATAAACTAGAGAAGAAGGAGGAGGAGGAGAGGGGGAAGAAAGAGGTGGAGAGGGCAAGGGAGAGGAGGAAAAAAGAACCACAAACCTTATCATTAAAAAACTCTTCCACAGCTGGGCACTAGTGGCTCACGCCTATAATCCTAGCTACTCAGGAGGCTGAGATCTGAGAATCACGGTTCAAAGCCAGCCCGGGCAGGAAACTCCATGAGACTCTTATCTCCAATAAACCACTAGAAAACTGGAAGTGATGCTGTGGTTCAAGCAGTAGAGTGCTTACCTTGAGCTGAAGAGCTGAGGGATAGCACCCAAGCCCAGAGTTCAAGCCCCATGACTGATCCCCCCCCCAAAAAAAAACACCTCTTCCATTTCTTAGAGTTCATTTTGATAAGCATCATTTTATATGATCTTATGCACATAGCTATTGAGCCCTTTCATTCCTGTCCTAAAAATATCCTCCTTCATTCTCACTGTGTGAATGTTCAGATTGCTGTTTAAATAATCATGTCCAAGAGTAATTATTTGCCTTTTCCTATCCATTGGGTTTACTTGTAGATTTATAGGAATATGTCACCTTACCATATACAGAATTTCTTGTTCCTATCTAACTAAACTTAGTATACATTGATCAACTTTTACCCATTCCTCCATTCCCCCAAGGTATCCATTCTGTTAGCTTCTTAAGTTAAAAGAAACCAAGATATGCATTTGTTGTCTTGGGTTCTCTTCCTCTCATGGAGAATAATCTGACTTACAGTGTTTTATCTGCTCTCAGTATAATGATTTGGGGCTACTTTTTTGAGAGAGTCTTAAATAGGAAGCATGGCATGACATTTCATTATTTTGTATTGCACACTGGAAATCTGTTAGTAAATTCTAAGCAGGATTCAATAGACTTCATCAATAGCACCTTCTCTTTTTCTCCCCCTAGCCAATAATCAAACATACCCAGGAGTGATAACAGCTACAGTGACATTACTTTTTCATTAATGCAGCTAAGAAACCAGATTGGAGACATGAGAGCTAGGTAGAACTATGCAGTAGGCAGAGAGACACTCAGAACTTGATACTTCCTGCACTTGGTTTCAGAGGTACAAACTTTCCCCCCAAATGACCAGTGATCATTTCTAAATACCCCCATTTTATAGAAGACAAGATCTCCTCAGAGCTGGCTATTAAGATCTCTTCCCAGTAGATTACCTGGCCTTTCAATGGGCTTCTCGATAAGTCAGCAGTTTGCAGAACTGCTCTTTAAGATACGTAGTTCTTCACATTTGGGGTTATTACTGAACTCAGGTCTCAAACAGGCAAACTCACAGTGATGGTGGCACACAGGGTCTCAGGGCATTGACAAAATTATTTTGCCTCTTTGGAGAAAGGCGAAGTTGAAGGTCTGAAAACATTAATAATCTCCTGGCAATTTCCTCCTTGCCTTCAAAGTTAGTTCATGACAACAATCTGTCTGAAAACAGCTGCCAAGTTAAAAATTAATCTCCTGCCAAAATAAATGTCATTTATTGAAACTGCTAATGACCAGCACATTTGCATAATTCCATTTGCAAATCCCTTCAGAGGAGCCTCTATGAAATATGTATCCCAGGCTAGATACGTGTCCTGTAGCTGACAACAAGCAATTCTTCACACTGGAGCTCTGTCTAAGCAGCCCTGACTCAGTTTCATGTTGGCACAGATATGTTAAATCAGTTCATAACATTCTGTGAAGAATAAGAGTGTTTTAGACTTCCATTACCAGCTAAATCCTTGAAGGGTTATTTATACATTATACACTATATATATACATTTTGTGTATGACGCTGCTTCTGTGGCATAGGGTAAATCCTAGGACTGACTGAATCTCAGGAGAAGAATTAGAACAGGTCTCCTCCTGGCCCAGCCAAAGCTTGAAATACACTGATACCTCGTTTCTCTTTCTTTACTCATAGATAAGTAATAGAATTAGAAATCAGTGTAAAATTTGTAATATCAACGGGTAAATCTAGATGTAGACAAAGCCTGTATGTGAGTGACCATAGGGTATGCTGCACTAATGGTGTAATTTCAGAGATTCTGGAAGCTTCCATTGATCTTAAGTATATCCTAAGACATTAAAGAAAATAAAGTTTCATCTCTGTGTCTTCAAAAGCATCCTGATGGAGCTGGATGCTGGGAGCTCATGCCCGTAATCACACACAGAGATCTGAGGATCTCAACTCAAAGCCAACAAGAGCAGATAAACCTTTGAGACTCTTTTATCTCCAGTTAACCACTAAAAAGCTGGAAATGGGCGGGGGGGGGGAGGCTAGCTCAAGTAGTAGAATCCTGGGCATGAGTGAAAAAGTTGAATATGTGTTCAAGTGCCAATACTAGCACATACACACACACACACACACAGAATCCTGATGGAGAGAATAAAATAAGTTGAGCTGTATCAGTCAGTTTTTAGTGAGAAGTAGTTTATCAGGAGTTTAGGTTCTCAAGAAGAAGATAAAGGCATGGCAGGAAATGAGTTTCACTGGTCTCCTACCATTGATAAAAGGAGAAACATGACCAGGCAGAAAGGAAGGTCTGGGTGAGTCTTTGAAGATTTATTTCAGCCACTTCCCATTTTACTATGGGCCAGAGAAGACACTGATCTTTAAATACTAATCTTCCTGTGTTTTCCTTGGCATCATATCTTTTTTTTTTTCTGCTCAGTGTTCTTAGAAATGTAGTCTGCCACCAGGAGACAGCTTAACAATAAGTTGAATTTGAGAAAAGTTTATTCATTCACCCAGTATGTATTATTGAATACCCAGTGTGGATGAGAGGAATTAGCCTAGCTCTGTATAAGCAATGTCCAAGTTGAGAGTTCATTTGAGAGCCCACAAAGCTCCAGGCTTTGGTCCTGTATGTGTGATAGTCCATTTGACCCAGTGAGGTCCCCCAACCTCAGCAGCTAAAGTTAACAGCTAAGCCAGATACCATGCTTTTTTTTTTGGGGGGGGGGAAGTAGGGGAGAGGAAGATTCAAAGATCACTGGATTTTCTTCAACTTTTTACAGTGAAGGCTCTTGCTTTAAAACAAAGACAAAATGTAACACAGGAGAATATCATTTCCTTTGGTTCAGTGATTTATTATTTATTGATTGATGATCACTGATTGAAAAGTTGCTATTTGATGTTGATGTCTTTGAAAGCCTCTGTCAGCTTTTTGGTAAGGTAACTAAAAGTCAGTGTCCTAGGGGCAGTGTAGGAAATTAACAAGTGTGAAAAGCTAATGCTTCTCCCTGCAGCGTGGGTCTGTGTCCTGCTGGCTCTGGAAGGAACTAGCTAAAATCAGGCCCTTCCTAAGGAGGAAGAGGCCAGCTCCAGTCTGCCTGGTGTGTGGCCTTTCCCTGCGGGCCCTTCCTTTATTGTTTTCAGAAATTCCGTCAAAACATTTCAAGTGAGAGGAAAGATTTCATTTCCCTGATAAGTATGCTTTCCTGTTTAATAATAAGCATTCAAGCGATCTGAAATTAATAGAACTGATCACCATTCTTAGGCTGTTTAAACCATTATTTTTAACACTTCCCTTGAGTGCATTTCAGTTGGATGAAATCTGACAGGCCCTATGTATTTGCTGCCTTAACAGACTCACCAACTAAAGAAAGTTCTCTGTGGCCAAAAGGTCCATTCGTAAGACTAGATTTGATGAAAGACAAGAAGAACATCCATCCAGTGGACTATTACACAGCTACGAAAACAATGAGAGAGTGCAGGTCCTGGATTTAAACAAACCCCAAGATACAACCCAAGTGTTAAGGACCAAAACAATCTATAGCATTGTCCT